TGTGTGGGGGAAGGGATAGGTGCTCTGGTAGGGTGCCTGGCTGTGTGGGGGAAGGGATAGGTGCTCTGGTAGGGTGCCTGGCTGTGTGGGGGAAGGGATAGGTGCCCTTTGTTGGGTGCCTGGCTGTGTGGGGGAAGGGATAGGTGCCCTTTGTTGGGTGTCTGGTTGTGTGGGGAGGGGATAGGTGCTCTGGTAGGGTGCAGACAGTTTGTGTGGGGGAAGGGATAGGTGCTCAGGTAGGGTGCAGAGAGTTTGTGTGGGGGAAGGGATTGGTGCCCTTTGTTGGGTGCCTGGCTGTGTGGGGAAGGGATAGGTGCTCTGGTAGGGTGCAGACAGTTTGTGTGGGGGAAGGGATTGGTGCCCTTTGTTGGGTGCCTGGCTGTGTGGGGGAAGGGATAGGTGCTCTGGTAGGGTGCCTGGCTGTGTGGGGGAAGGGCTAGGTGCCCTTGGTTGGGTGCCTGGCTGTGTGGGGGAAGGGATAGGTGCTCTGGTAGGGTGCAGACAGTTTGTGTATGGGATGAGCTATCACATCCTCCGGTATCCGGTATACAATTTACTCTATGTGGCTGTAAGTCCAAAACAAGCCGTTGTTCAGTCTGGTGGTGGAGCCGCCGCGCTCACTCGTCTCTTCCCTCCTCCGCAGGCGTCCAGCATTGAGGTGAAGCAGGACTGGATCAAGAACATCCGAGAGGTGATCCAGGAGAGAATGATCCACCTGAAAGGAGCGCTAAAGGAGCCCATCCAGCCCCCGAAGACCCCGGCCAAGCAGAGGAACAACAGCAAGAGGTAACGGACATGGATGTGTCATGGGATGTGTCATGGGATGTGTCATGGGATGTGTCATGGGATGTATCATGGGATGTATCATGGGATGATGGCAGACAAGTGTGAACATTGCGGAGCAGTAAAGAGTTTGTCACCGGCGTAGCTCCGGCCTTGTTGGTATTACTGGTCATAGGGACTCCACATGTGTGATCGCATCTCAGCCGTCATGTACCAGAGCTGCCACCAGGGGGAGACTGCAGAGCTCTGTGTTCTCTATCAGGAAGTATGTAAAATATGTGAGAATATAACATTTTCTTCCTGCC